AGTTTTCTTTTTCTAACAGGGTGGTTGACCTTTGGAATGGGTTGCCTTCAGATGTTGTAGAGGCAATAAATTTAAGTGAGTTTAAGAACAAGATTGATAAGTTTATGAATGATAAGGGCTGGCTTTAAGATTTTTTTTAAATTATTTTAATTTAGTTTAGAGGATGGAATAGCCAAGATGGACCAATAGGTTCCATATTGTCACAAAACATTATGTTATGTTATATGCCACAAGAGAATTTTGGCTTTGAAACATAATTATCTGTGACCTACCACTGTGTCACATGATCCATAACTAAAATCGGTTGTGACCCATCAGTGTGGAACATGGCACAGAATGTGTTAATGAACCAATTCAGGATAAATAGCAACCAGAAGTCTCTGTATTGGTCTTAATGCAATAATTTTAACTATTTTTAACAAGTCAAACCAACAATGCTAAGTAAATAATATGTGTAAACCAACAGGTAAACTATTAAAATTATTGGATTCAGAATAGCATGCATTATTTATATACAATATCTCTTCATATTTGCATCTTTAAGTATTATTTGATCTTATTATATTAATACATACACATAATAATCTCTGAAAATATCTTTCAACATTTATGAGTTTGTATAGAGACTTCATCAAAGTCCATGATATTAAAACCTTAATAATGCTTTTAACGTCTCTACACTAAAGGCCAACTTTTATATTTGTTCATTTTAGGTTTCTTTTTCTTGATCAAAATCAATTCTTTAATCTTTGGATCTAGAAAATGGCATTTAGATAAGATCTTTACATCTGATAAGATGTTATTTCTTTGTGGTATGCCATGTTCCTTTCCACAATGTTCTACAATAGCCATGGTTTTCTAGACCAAAAGATTAAAGAATTGATTTGCTGATTGATGAAAAGATATAAAGTTTGGCCTTTAGTGTAGAGACGTTAATAGCATTCTTAAAAGTTTAATACCTTGAACTTTGATGAAGTCTCTATACAAGTCATAAGGGTTGAAAGATATTTTCAGACATTGTTATGTGTATGTATTAATATAATAAGGTGAAATAGTGCTTACAGATGAAAATATGAAGAGATATTGTATATACATAACATATCCTATTCTGAATCCAATAATTTTAATAGTTTACCTGTTGGTTTACACATATTATTTACTTAGCATTGTTGGTTTGACTGGTTTCAACAATTTACATTCAAAATGTTTGATATTATTTTAATATGATCTGAGCTTTCTAAACACATGTATCGATGTTTGATTTACTGTTAACGTTGTTCCAATTTAGACTGACTGGATTAGTCTACTTAATTTAACATAGACATAATTTAAACATTTGGTGAAACAAAGGCAATGTCAAAACACTAAAAAATCTTGGTAAAAGTGTTTTGTCTAATTAAAGCTACCTAGAATCTAAGAATACATATTAAAAATACTGTTACAGTGCTGTGGAGTAACTGTTGATTGTAGTAGTATGGCAATAAATATTTACATTCACAAGTAAATGTGCACAACATTTTTCTATTCAGTTTACTTTAAGATATAAACTCAATAATATACCTTTTTTTATGTGCTTGTAGGAAGGTGTAACTATGGATTTGCTACTATTGTCTACTGTAAATCTACCAATACTGATTTTATTTTTCCTTGGAATTAGGTCCATGGCCCCAGACAAGATACAAGTTTAATTAAAACCTTTGTTGTTAATACAAAATCTATGGGAATTTATGCTACATAATTAGATAAGGATATTTGTAACATTTACAAATCTTTAATTCAGGTTAATCATTTTTCCCAATCTATTGTTTGAAGTACTTTAATGTACTGCTGAAAGAAAGAAAAAAACCCCATTTTAAATATGTATGATGCCCCTTGTAACATACTATATCACAGGATACTCATATGAGATAAAAGGGATTTAAGTAAATTCTATAATATTTACATTGATGTGAAGTTTACCTCCAAAACTTGCATGAAGTTAAATTCTTTTTATCTAAGAAATTGGTTTGATAGTATATGTAATAATATTACTGATACAATTTTAAAATTGTCTGGGAAAGTTTAGATTTTTATACTGGAGAAAAAGGTAGGAAGCTGAACACACATATTTATAGTTAAAATAGCATGTGATTTAACTTTGTCAAAAATACAAACTGAGGGTAATCCTAGAATCTTCCCTTATTGTAAGACTTTAAATGTGTTATTATATTTTGCCATTACACAAATGAGTTTTAAATTTAAGGAATAATTATAATCAAATTGATGGGATTGGCATGAGTAATCATGGTACTCCTGATTTTGCTAATCTATTCATGATTTGCATTGAACAAGCTTTATTTCTGCAATGAAGTTTTAAATTGTAAACAGAGAAAGCAATAAATATAAATATATAATTAAAGAAACTATTTTAATTAGATTTACTAAAACCATTTTTCTTGTGTTTATTCATTCAAATGTAAAACTTCTTACAGTGTAAACATAGTAATATACCTCTATAAGGATGACACATTTTTTAAAATCCTTTCTGTGTATGTTACTGAGTTACATTCAAAATTTAAATAAACAACTTCACTCTCCATATATGTTAGTAAAATCAACCTTATAATGTATGTTATAATTCAGAGTTTTATATTATGTAAGTTTTAATTCCTTAGTTTCAAAAGAAAACTTTTAAAAAAACTTAAATTTTAGTTGTGTTGTCGCGTGACCCACCAATTGTTGCAGTCTCTATCTTGAATCAGGTAATCCCAGTCCTGTAAATGTATGTCTAGACAATAAGTACATTTACTTGCACAACTGACAGGTAACTTTTGTAGTTCTTTGGCTGAATCCAGTAAAAATAAGTAATAAATGTTGCCAACTTTTGACAAGTGCCACACCCACCTTCTGTATTTAGCCTTGAGATTTACAAGCAACATGTACTTATTTGACATATGTGTTTATAGTCAATGGAAAGAGCTCGTTTTAC